GCATCCGCCTACCAAAGTCTCCGCCTACCAAAGCATCCGCCTACCAACGACCAGAATCCGGGTCACAACCGGTCCTTCATGAGCCGCTACTAACGACCACATCACATAACACTCACATTGAGTGAGACCTACCAAAAATAAAAAATAAAGTGGACCCCACTCCATGTGAGTGTTATGTACACCTCTATGTACATTTTTATGTACTTGTAGCATTTTACTTCTTTTAATGTCGACGGGTTTTTGATTAGTTTTGCAAAACTATGACAAGGTAGAGATTATATTGCAGTTATTCAAAAATTTTGATTAAATTGCCAAAAGTCAATAGGTCAAAGTTTAAAGGATAAATTAACCTTTTTAATTTTTGCTTCCTTTGCTAAGAGCACCCACAATACTTTGGGTCTTTTAGAAAAAAATCACATGCCATGTAGGAAATAGACCTAGTCACAATGCAATTAAAAGTGGACCTAGTCTAACTTATGTGGCACTAGAAAAAAGAGACTAAGTCCACACTTGGGTCTATTTTGGACCCAAGTGCAAACCCACCTAGTCATTAATTGTTCACAATTTTCTTTTTCTTTTTAATAGCAAAACATATTTTTTTTGTATGCATTTATTATTACTATATTTTTATTGGTTGTTTAGTATTCTAGACCTAGTACTTTATTGTTTTGCATTGGATAAATTTTGGATTTTTTAGCTTGAGTTTGTCTATGTCAGTATGGACTTAAGTCTATTTATTTGTCACATATATAAAAGAAGACCCAAAATATTGTGGGTGCTCTAAGCATCATTATTATACGTGGCGTGCTGTTTGTGTTTGCCTTTGAAGACCAATATGATAGTGGCAGCCTATCCATTTTTGCTGCAAAACCAAACTGGACCAAAAGCCAATAAGTCCAAGACTGAAATTTCAGGGAAATGCTACAGTCCCGTTGCGGAAGCATTTTGTCGGGGTTGTAATCGTTAGATCAACTATCCCCGACGATTATATTATAATCTAACGATTACAAACTCTGACGAAATGGTTCCGTAACGGCACTGTAGCATCTTCGGAAATTTCATTTAGGATCAGCGATGACGTGTCAAACCAGACGGGATTGATAACCACTGAAATTCGTCCCTCCCAAACGAACTCTCATTCTCCAGACAAAATTTATCTCTCACCACACAAAATAATCTTTTTATCATAAACCTCCCCACACACACACACACACTCTTCCATACTACTACGCAGAGCAAAACGGTAGGTACCCATGGCCTCCTCTCCGCCCTTCTTCTCTTCAATCCTCAACATTCCCAATTCCAAATTCTCGAACCCTGATTTCGCCGCCAGATTTTCGATCACAAAGAAACAATTTCCAGCTCCAATCTCCACCGCCGGTAACTCTCCCTCCTCACTGTCCGCTCGATGCGGTTCGGCCACCGTCACCAATTCGCTGACCCTCGACCATGGGAGCATCAACGACGACGAGCTGAAAGTGGCGGAATCCAAATTAGGGTCGCAAGTTCGGGTCAAGGTGCCGCTGAAGGTGTACCACGTGCCCAAGGCGCCGGAGCTCGATCTGATGGGCATGACCGGCGTGTTGAGGCAGTATGTTGGGGTTTACAAGGGGAAAAAGATATCAGCTAACTTGCCCTACAAGGTGGAGTTCGTGTTGGACGGCGTCTTGGGGCGGGATGGTAAGCCCGTGAAATTCACTGCGCATTTGAGGGAAAATGAGTTTGAGTTTCTTGACTGACTCTGTGTTTATTTGTTGTCGGTTTTTTAGAATTGTGATCTAGGGCGAGGTATGATTATTCGGTTCACAAGTTCTTATCTTTGTGCCGGTACCATATTTGTAGATATACTGCTGTATGTAATTCGTATTTTGATCTTATATGTATTGCTTTTCAATAAAATGTTTTTTTGGGCTCTATTAATCTGCTCTGATGCACATCTAACTAATTTTATACACTCAAGTTTATTGTTTGCCTTAGTGGGTTTGCCTCAAGTCGAAGAGCTTCTATATGAAAATAAGCTACATCTTTTGTTAAGTTATCTTACAGTGTTGAATTTAATCTTCTTGACGCGAGCCTGCAACTATTAGTGTTTCTAGTGCATGCCCGCATTGGCTGATCAGAGTTTCCAACTGGAGGTAGGCTCGGTTACATGTTTTAGAGTCATTTATATTTTCTTCAGAAAGTGCAGTGTTACCTGTTTTCTGTTTACTTGCAAGGTGGAATCTCAGAATATAAACCGAGAGTTTATGCAAATGAATATTTCCCTAGCTATTTGGATTGACTGGCAGTCTGTTTTGAGGGTTCTATATAATATTTATAAGAATGATGGAATTTCTTTGAATGGAGTGCTTGTAGTTTGAATCGTGTTATTCCTTTTATCATAGTTATAGACGGTCAGCTATTGGTTGGGTTTTGTTTTTATTTTTAGTTCTTCTTGTTTCAGATTTCAATGAATGAATTGGTTCAAGTACAACCATCCTTGTGTGGAGACTTGAGTTGTTTATTTGGTTATTTTTAGTTCTCATCCCTACCTCCCTAGAGAAATATCCAACTGAAAGTTTGTCCTGTTGGGTTAATGATACATGAACACCCACACCTTTTAAGAGTAATGTGGATATGATTATGCACAAATAGATTCTGCAGCGTATAGACAAATTCTTGATGCTATAATATAGTTAATTATGTATGAAAGAAACATATACATAACTGGCTTTGCAATTTGGAAACATAACTGTCTGTGTTATCGTAGTACATTAACGAAATTGTTCATGTCTTTGCACAGAATTATCATTGTGTTAGCATGCTTCAGTGTCCTGGAATGATATTTCATATTGTGCCATCTGTATGTTAAATTTAGTCGTCTATAGGACATTGAAATGAACTTTTTTCTTCTGGTGGAAGTTAAATGATTGAAAAATAGTGGAACTGAAGATGACATGCCATGTGTCACCGTGTTGGATCTTTTCAGTTTTGTGACTGTGTGTTATTCTTGGGATTCATTTATGAGTTGCCTTTTCAAATAAATGAAGAGAACACGTGATACACGTGGATGGTTGTTGCAAACCATCTGCAATCAGTTTGTTGACTACATCCTTGTAACATTCTTGTTGTACGATGTATTCTTTGAGGTGGGTCTTGTGATGTTTATTTCTTTAATATGCACATAATTTCTGGAATGGGGGTTTAACTTTGTGTTTAAACATGAGTTTATTGAGTTTGTTTATGACTTTTTGAGTCCCAGGAAAAGTGACAATCTGAAGGGTGGGGAGATTTATATGGATCACCATTCTAATTAGTAATCACGTCGTTGTTAATATCAATTTTTTATTTAGAGAAAAGAGAGAAGAAAAGAGAAGAAAACACAAATTCTTTCCAAGTTAGTGCAAGTCTGATGGGAATCTGAGTAGTAAAGGTTCTGAGTTTTGAATGTTGTCTGAAAAATATGATAGGTGGAGAGAGCTTTTGAGTTTGAATGTTATCCCGAAAGATCAGTGGAGACTGTTAGCTACAACTAAAACCGTAAACTTACCAAACTGAGCTCGAACTTCTGATACTTAAACTCGACTTATTAGCTAAACGAGCTCAAACTTAGCTCGTTTAGCATTATTTATGAGTCCAGTTCAAGCTCACTCGTTTATCAATATTTATCCCATTCAAGCTTCAACGAGCAGGCTAAGAGTTAAGGACGTTACGTGAAAACCCTATTATTGAGTCAAACGAGCTGAGTTCAAGCCTTAATGAACCAAGTAGGGCTCAACCCACAAGCAGATATTTGAGTTTATCAGCTCAAACGCTGCTAAATTTACCAAGCTCTTTTTATCCTTCATTTTTTTCCTCATTAGACAATCAAGAAAGGATTTGTACACAAACTAACGTAAATCATTGTAAGAAACAACTCTGCTAGCTTGCTAGTTTCACATGTTTGTTGCAATTTCTCTTCATGCTTCCTTGTTGGTATATTTTTATTAATGTTTAGGCGTTTCGGATGACTGGAGCTGCTATAAATATTAGAGATTTCAACATTAAAAGAAACAACAATGTCAGCAAATGAAAAAGGGAAGTGCAATGAGGCCTTGATAATGCATTTGATAAACTTGATTTTGTTTCAGTTAGAGTCGTTAAGCGAAACGAGCTGCTCGTGAGCTCGGCTCGGTTCGACTCGATAAGGCTGGACAAATAATTTTATATATAATTTTTTGTAGTTCAGGTTGTTATGGTTTGAGCTCAGCTTGTTAATGTCGATAGATGAGCCGAGCTCGACTGAAGGACTTGAGTTTGAGCTCGGCTTAGCTCATTTACACTCCTAGATAATGCCCAGACACCTACTCTGATATATAATTTCTTGGTAAAGTGCTTCAAGTCTTAAAGCTATAAATATTGGAAAGAGATAGCATGCTCAACTTTTTCTTGGTAGTCTTTGCTTTGGTTGCGTACACTTTGTGGTAGGTATAATTATAACAAGTACAATGCACATGCGATGCATGAGACAAAGAGGTTAAATGAGTCATTTTCATATATCCTGTCTATTTAGGCCCCCCAAAAACATTAAGTTGGTTCATTCATTTTTCACCCCGCGGCCAGCTTGCGACTCGCGACCAGCTGCCCCGCGCCCTGCGGACATAGCAGTGTCCTAGGCCTTTCCAGATCCGCGCCCCGTGGCCAGCACGCGACCCGCGGCCACCAGCAGTCGACGCGACCTGTTTTTGAAATTTGATTTTTTGGCCGTTTTTCGAGGGTTATTTATTGGGATTAGTGCCCAACCCTAAAAAAACACTTTTAGTTCGTTTTTCCTCAATTTTTCTCCCTTAGAAACTAGATTCGATCTTGGAGGGTGATACTCCACGAATCGATTTGTAAATAGTTTTGTATGATTATTTCTCCATTTTTCTTTTTCTCTCATGCTCGGCATGTTGAAAACAAAGACATTGGGATCAAACTCTTGCAAGTCCTAATTCGATTGTAAGTTTTCATTTCTATTTTATTATTTTCGATTGCTTTTATGTTCTTTAATCTGATTAACATGGAATTGAATTCAAGGATGAGGTAATTCATTCATCTAGTGTTAGGCATTCTGATTCTTGTTCGAAATTGTGTTGAATGTGCTTTGTTCAATCTATGTGAGTTGCTTTATTATTAGGGATTAGTTGATTGTTCATTTGCTAGGCAAACAACTTTTAGAATAGAAATAAGAGGAGTGTTGAACCTAGGCTTGTATGAAGTGAGTGTTTTCTTCTAATCTATTTAGACAACTTTTAGAATCGAGAAATGAGGAGTTGTTCGACCTAGGATCCTATAGAGTAGACTTGTTCGTAAAAGTAGTGTGTTACTTGATTGAATGAGATTGTCGTTTATGTGTGTGTTCTTATTACCAAAACGTTATTGAGTATAAACCTCTAGATGTGTAGGCTTGCTGAATGATGAGTCGAAAATATATCTTTCTATTATGGTAAAATTTGGATTATGTGTTAGATATTTGTGCTTAACTGACGTGTTTTCGACTTTATCACGTGTCTTCGAGTAGAAACTTGGTGCAGTTAGATCGCATGTGCTCGACTTGGTGCACATATAACCAACATGGCATGTGCTGATATTTGTATAACATGGCCATGTCAAGTACAAGCGGAGGTGCACAGCTCAATCAGTTTTTAACATGGGCCAGTTAACACTAAGCCCAATAGGATTATTAAAGGACCAACGATAATTAAAGATGAGGGGAGCTTTTGAAAACCTAGACTGGACGTAACAGGAGCCGCAAGGAACAGACAGAAGGATTTTCACGGATCATCAACCTTAAAATTATTCACTTCTCTTTTCCTTATTTTTTCATATATACTTTTGCTAGACTTTATGGAAGCCCTGTGCGGCTAGTTTTCTTTTGCTTCGGTTGAGCACGATTGAAACCCCGAACTTAATACTGTGAGATCTAATTAGTTTTTATCTATTAATTCATATTTCGTATTGATTGTTTTGTGTGTTTATGTTTATGATTTTGTGTTAAGATTGTAGCCTGATCAACTATTGTCTTATTCGCTTAATCTATTACTTGGTAGATATTGAGTCGGATTTAGATGATTTATCTATCGTAAGAAGCAACTGAG